ATATATAAGAATCGGAATTCAAACATTCAGATTCAGACTTTATGCTAGAATCAGAGAGATTATAAAATGAAAAGGTTCAATGTAATTTTTGTTTTAAGCTTTCCATTAGGTTATAAAAATATAATAATTCCACGATGGGATTTCTCACGTCTCTTTTCATCATAAAATACTGAATAAAGTATATGGTTTATATTTCATATATATATATATAAATATATGTAATATATATATACATATATATGTATCGAATAAACCGGCTTCAAAAAACGTTACATTGGATTTTTTTTAAGGAATTCTCAGGGCCTCTTGGCTTTTTTGGTTTGCGAATTCGGAGGGTTTGCATATGAAAATCAAATACATGAATGTTTACGAGGATTAGAATTGTTAGGGATTTTATTTAAACGGAATTACTATTTTTCAAACCGTGACACGTGGAATTCGACACAGTACCTGTCGATAACTCTTGATCAAATCGGTGGAATTTAAAATTCAGACAATATAAATACCTCGATACCTTTGAAATTACGTAGAATAAATCTCCATAAATTACATGGAATACGATAATTGGCCATAAACTCTAATTTCAGAGTGAATTTTTAATTTCAACGCAACAAAATTAGACTCACGCTATTTCTAACAACAAAAGATAGTTTTGAAAATTAAACATAAATATTATATAACTCCATGAAAAATGGTGGGAGTCACATAGCTGATGTATTTATTTGAAATTTCTTTAATGAACTTTAAAATTAGTACATAATATATTACCACAATACAAAAGAATCAGAGGAATCATCCGGAAAATCTCAGAAGGATGTGTTGAGGACAGGGATAATAATTATGATAATTTAATTATGGAACGTCACAAACTAAATTTTAAACATTGAAATGTATTATTTTTCTTGTGCAAATACCTCATCGAGTAGATCATTCCTCAACTGGCAGAGATAATTCGTAGCGCAGAGGCCTCTTTCCCGTTTTGTGACAGAGAGACTGCTGATGCTGGCATTCCAACAAGTTTCACCCTCGAGTCTAGCACATCTGCCACCTGGACAGCATTCGCAAGGATCCGGAACGGATCCTAGGAGACATCTAGACGAATTATCAGGGCACCTGGGGATTCACCATAAATGGGGAGATATTTATTATTCATAAATTGCAATCCCTTATCTTTAAAAAATATATATAAACAAAATTTAATTTAATTAGATTACGGCCCGGGTGGACTATCTATCGAACGTCGACTTTTGTTTAAATTTTATCTTTTTAACCTAAAATACATTAAAATTTGGGATCAATTTTGTGTTGCGGGAAGCACTTGAATGGACATGA